AGTGGCTGGATGGAAGAAAGAAGAGGGTTGTTGCAAATGGATCTCAGTCAAACTGGATTAATATCACAAGTGGGGTACCTCAGAGCTCAGTCTTAGGATCTTTGCTCTTTTTGATTTACATCAACGACATAGTTGTAGGGATAGTTAATCAATTACTTAAATTTGCAGACAATATTAAGGTCTTGGGTGTTGCTAGCTGTGAAGAGGATGCTGCTGATTTACAAAAGGATTTAGATCATTTAGTGAGTTGGGTAAATAAATGACAGATGAGTTTTAATTATAATAAATGAAAGATAATGCATGTGGGTTATCATAATTTGAATTATAAGTATAATTTAGATGGGAATAACCTTAATAGTGGTATGAAGGAATGGGATTTTGGTGTAATAGTCAATCAGTCTCTAAAGCCATACAAGTAGTGTTCTGTTGCTAGTGGTAGGGCAAATAGGATTTTAGGTTGTATCTATAGAAATATTGAATACAAGTCTACAGAGATTATACTTTCGTTGTACATGTCACTGGTTAGGTCACATTTGGAATATTGTGTTCAGTCTTGGGCTCCTTACCTTAGGAAGGACATAGAATTGTTGGAAAGGGTTCAGAGAAGAGTAACTGGAATGGTGCCTGGAGGGGTTGTCATACAACGAGAGGCTGAAATCTCTCAAATTCTGAAAAAAGAAGAGTTGGGGGGGGGGGGATCTGACTGAGGTATTTAAGATTGTAAAGGGAATTGATAGTATTAATGTATCATCTGTTTTTATATTTACCAATGAGAATAGTAGGACTAGAGGACACAAATATAAATTTTGGCAAGGTATGAGTCATCTTCAGCTAAAACAATTATTTTTCTAACAGGACGGTTGGCCTTTGGAACGGGTTGCCTTCAGATGTTGTAGGGACAGTAAATTTAAGTGAGTTTAAAAAAAAGCTTGATAAGTATATGAATGAAAAGGGCTGGGTTTAACATTTCTATTTCATTTTATAATTTTAATTTAGTTTTGAATATGAAACAACCAAGATGGACCAATAGGTCTTATGTTGTCCCAAAATATTATGTTATGTTATCAATGCTTCACACTGAATATCATGAGCTTATAAGTTAACCTTATGTGTATGAGAGTGAAAGTAAGAATATTTTAGAGTTAAATTCCAAATATATGTTATATAAATATATTTTTTATGTTCTAAAATATATATTTGAAAGTTATATGAATTATTTTTGGACAACCAACATACTGATAAAAAAGTAGAATTACTTAATCAAAGCATCTTACTGTAAATGGGCCTCAACAACTTAAGTAAGTGCTAAATTTCTTGTTTTTTATGTATGTTTTTATGTTTGTTACACATTTTTAAATAAAAGTAACTAAAATGTAAAAACTAAAAATTTATTAGGTAATAAAATAATTTATCAGTTTACGAGCTTAAAGTATATCTAGTTTGAATGTTATTTTTTTACTTTATCTTTGGGGGAAATAGATATGAGCTCTCATTATGATTTATTGATTTTCACAGAATAATAAACAACTTTTGGAACAAAGTATATTATTAAAACGAAATTAAAAGAAACCAGGAAAAGATTAATAGTTGATACTGTACTAATAATTAAATTGATGATCCAGTAATAAATAATGCATTCAAAAAAGAATAAAAAATATATATATTTATACATTTTATTTTATATTTTTCAACTTTTCATTTCATTGTACATTGATGAATTCACTGCAGTTGGCATTAGGATAGAGAAAATATAAAGTTTTACCAAAAAACAATATTTTGATATTCATTTAAGAGGTTCTAGAGGTTACACAAATAAAATGTGAAAAACTTCAGATGAAAATAAGTATTTTTATTCTTAATATGAAAATTATCTTTCATTCTGACTTAGTAAAGGCTTTGTAAGTTCACAGACAAATCTTTGGTAGAAATATTATCTTACAAATACTGTTTTTTTTTGTTGTAAATTTAGAGCTATAGTACACATAGTTTCACATTTCCAAGATGGGTCAAACTAACTTACTTCATACAGAAAGAGTTAACTGTATTTCTCACATAACATGAAATGCTGAATGTTTATTCTAAATTCATAACTCTAGATTCAATTTCACAAATTTTCTCTAACAATCCTTCAAAAATACAAAACTTTCTATGTTAATGCTCTAAAGTTCTTTCTGGTTGAGCCAACATAATAGTTTTAAACAATACTTCCTTTAAATACAGTTCCATGATTACTGGTTAAATAACAAAACTTAACTGAGGTACTTTAACCTCATAATTTTCTGTTATTAGCACATACTGCAGTTATTATTTTATTATTCTAAATTGTTTTCTCCTCATAAAATATTTTTCAGTTGAGTGATGATTAAAAGCAGATGTCATGGTTTACGTACTGAACTAAAAACATGGTATCACTTCAGCATTGGAGAGCAATAACAAAATAGACTGAGATTATTCTACTTGTGGAATTAAAAAAAAAAGATTAATTTATGGCTTGAATGATTCGTTTTGCATTCTTTTATATATGGAACTATTTTTAAACATAAAATAGTTTACCACTAAGACACTAGCACTTCTTCAGCTACACAGGTATTACTAGACATAATAAAAGGTCTAAGAATTCACAATGAAATAGTTCTGATTATTTACATTTAAACATGAAAGCACAGAAAGAAAGAGATAAGAAAGCTTCAGTAATCCATAAGCAAGGTGTTTAAGCATAAAAAAAAAAGACAATATTATAGCTATTTCAAGACATAATGAGTTTAAGAATGAATTCATTTAGCACAGTTTTATAACAAAACTCTCTTTTTGTGAACACACAGTTTCGAAAATCATTCAGAAAACTGAGGGAACACAATCAAGAACTGCATTTTATTTTTAACATTACATTAGCATTTGTAAAAAGAAAAGAAATCAAAAATATATTTTAGATGTAGCATTTGATTCCCACACATGTACATGTACTTGCAAAATAATACCTTACTAAAAACTGCATTTTACACATAGCATTTAAGATCTATAGATTCAAATTTAACCATAAATTGTATTTTACCTCTTGCACTTAGTCTTTGTAACAGAGAGTTGGGACCACGAGATATGGAAGCATAGTTCCAGTGTGTAATAGCCTGAATAGCTGTACCTCCAGTTGTTCCAAGTTCTCCTTCAAATGCTGGCAATAATGGCATCACAACATAAACACGGAACTTTTCTTTGTTTCTAAAGAATTATATAACTGACTTTTGAACTTGTATCCTAAAAATTACTTCTACATCAGGTATGCTTTTACACACTACTTCTCTATAATGTTAGATTATGGTGAAATAAAAAATAATATTAATTTTTATTACATACCTAAGTCATATTACCTTTAAGATGGCATTACTTGAATTATAGAACGTGACAAAAAAAGTAGGAAAAAGGAAATGTCAATAATGGAGAGGTCTCCAGTGGAGATAATTAAACATTTTTTTCACTTATGAATAAAGTATTAATTATTTTATACATCACTCCGATACTGAAATATCATGTGACCTTATTTCTAATACACTGCATATAACAACTGCAATGTATTAACTTACTAATGAATCAATATATTATTATTATTGATACATTACTCTTAGCTACATGACTAACACATACAAATGATATATGAGATCTACCTAAGAACTACAACCAGTAAGATCGAACTGTTATTTTAATCATTTTTATGTTGGATGATCTGTAACCTTCTGTTAATGATAAATAAATGAAACAATCATGAATAAAAAAATCTTATGAAGTTTTTATTTGCTTTGAGTTTACACATTCATCAGGAGCTGAACTTTCTGTAATTTGAGTGATAAAGAATTTTTTAGAAAGTTCATATCGTGATGAGGGTATAAAAGTGAAACTGAGTAAATACAAACTTGTAAGATCTTCTTGGGTTCATGGTAATTTCATTTATTCACAATTATGTGCACAATACTCCAGTCAATATCATGTAACTTAGAAAATTCAAAACTGCTGTTATATGTCCTGGAGAGTAAAATTTTCATTTTTTGCTCACACATTTAAACACAAACTTTTTTTTAAGATACATAATGGATTGTTAGGTACCAAAAAGATTTTATAACTACATTTTCAATCACTATACCAGATATTCAATGAGGTAAATCAATACTTTCATAATGTAAAGATAATTTATAAAAATCAACCAAACAGCAGATGAAACAACAAAACACCTTAAACCCAAAACTTCTAACCAAATTATGATTAAAACAGCAATTATCTTTTATAGATCCACACAGCCTGGAACAGATTAAGGTGAAGGCTATTGAAACTGTAGCCCCAGGCCTGGGTTCAGAAAATGCCTCTTATAAAAACCAATAACCTGTTTTTCTCTTTTTTTTAGGAAAATGCTTAATAAAAATCATTCAATTACTTATTTTTGAAGAGAGAGTTTCTGTGTGATGTGGGTAGGTCTATTGTGTGATGTAGAGTGAAGAAATTTGATTGGCTTGCCTCTGAATAGTGTGACTAGGTGTAGTCCAGCTCTGATACAGCACATTTCGATACAATTTGTAATGCAAATGTGCCAGGTCTAAGTGGGGTTTGATCTAATAATATTAATTGAATAATAGGCCTAGGCCAATCAAAATCTCTTCACTCCACATTTTCATATTGCTGTCAGCCAGGCTCTCCCTTGTGGCTTGTGCTCAACTCTGTTATCGTATGATTAAGCAGTAGGTCTAGAATATAACTAGATCTAAAATTCTAGGTTAGATTGATGGTATCTAAATCTTTTGATTCTTCATTCTCAAAGGCTTTAAATTCTGTTCAAGAAAATAGTTCAATCAATGCTAACAAGGTAAGTAACAGTATATTTTAAACTCTTAAGATATATTGTATCGATTGTTTGTGTTTCTTGAATATAATTTGCAAATTTTTATCCAGTAAAAAAACCATTAATTGGAGGGTATAGAATAAAAGTAATCCATATATAAAATTTGAAATTGTTGAGTTAAATACAGAAAATGATATGCAATCATTTGTTATGAAACTATTAGGTAGCTCATTATGACATCTCTCTCTCACATACATACATACACACAAGCATGCTTATATGTGCACACACACACACACACACATATTGTTAATTAAATATTCATCTTACCTATTATACAGATGTACAAACACAAGAGCCATTGGAAAAAGCTAAAGTCAAAGGAAGAGGAAGAAAAAATTTGGGAAAGTAATGTTTAAAACTAGGAAGCTAAAGGATCTATGGGCTTCATCCTATTTCATACTCAACTGTTTGTGATGAATTCATAGAAATCCCACACAAAGAAGTTTTCACCACCTTTATCCAGGAAATCAAAACATCCAAGTATTGCTCAGTGTCTGTTGATTTTACTACAGACATATTCCACACAGATCAACTGACAATAATCTTTGGATACATTCTAGATGATGGCCCTGTACAGGGAATTACCAGATCAGTGTCTGTTGATTTTACTACAGACATATCCCACACCGATCAACTGACAATAATCTTTAGATACATTCTAGATGATGGCCCTGTAAAGGGAATTACCAGATCAGTGTCTGTTGATTTTACTACAGACATATACCACACAGATCAACTGACAATAATCTTTGGATACATTCTAGATGATGGCCCTGTACAGGGAATTACCAGATTCTTATCAATAAGCAATCACACAGGAGCAGAACTTGCTTGAGTTCTCATTAATTTCCTAGAAAAGAATAATATAAGAATTCAAGATTGCTTTGGGTAGTCTTATGACAATGCATCCAACATGAGGGCAAATATGTTGCCATGCAAGCCTTGATCAAAGGGAAGAACCACTAATCGACTATGTTCCCTACTGTGCTCATTTGCTCAATTTGGTTGGATAATGTGCTGTGAATTGCTGTATTGAAGCTTGTTGATTCTTTACCTTTGTGCAGAAGCTTTGTGTGTTTTTCTCAGCTTCAACCCATTCCTGATTATAAAGAGGTTATCAGACACAAGATAAAGTACCCATTCAGATGCAATGTGAGCTTTAAAAATGGGGTACAAAGCCATAACACAAGTCTTTGCTTCCATTACAGATGATGACTCAAGTGTGCTAAGAGTCATGAAGCCTTATGCTACAATTGGAATAACTATAAATGGGTAAAACAATAGAAATATGGAACATTATTCATGTATGTTCATGATAATCTTTGTGTTATGTGTATGCTTTAAAACTAAAGGAATATTCTTATATGAAAAGACATACATAAAGGATATTTAGGGTTAGTGAGTGCAGTAAGCTAGGTGTTCTGTGAAGGCAAACTATTCAGATCACAGAAAAGCTTTTGATTTGTGTGTATTAGTAAATTTATTATCACTCAACCAACATATACAAATACATAGAACGTGGGCTAATGCAGGAGTCTTTGCCTATGATGTGCATGAGGGTTTCCAAAAAAAGTATGAAATAATGGCTACTGCACTGGACTTGAAGGATGCCTAAAGTAGGGTGATGCACATCCTGAGGGACTACGAAATAGATCTCTGGACAGTCAACTGGTTCACAGCAACACTATTTGAGAGGAAGGTCATTCCCTACACAGGTATGTGGACTTCATCGCTACAGACTATTGTTCCAGGAGTCACTCAGGGATCACCCATCTCCCCAGACCTATTCAATATATACACATCAAAAGTAGCAGGGATGCAAAGTGCAATAGATGGCATTTCAGGTTGTTGTGAGGAAAATAATGGTGTCATCAGTCCAGATAAAGCATTCATGCTATTTTGCTCACTCAACAATCGGTTAGTGAATGCTGATGTCCCAGAAGTGGCAATCAATGGATACACCATAAAGCACATGACAAATTGAGATACCTGAACATCATCTGTGATAGGAGCCTGTTCTTCAAGGATCATGTAGATGCAATAGTGGAGAGGACAAAGAAGGGGCTTGGGACTTTGAAAGTCATGGCTACTGCAGATACAGACAAAAGGTTGCTGTTCATCCTCTACCAGCATCTTGTGCTATCAGCTTTGGAGTATGGCCTTGAAATACTAACATTATCAAAGATAAAGTTGGAAAAACTTAAGTGCATTCAAAATGGGGCCATGAGGACCATTTTATGCTGTATTGAGGACTCACCCATTGTGGTGATGAAATTAATGCTGAGACTGCTTCCCATTGAGGAAAGGCATGCAGTTGCCCAGGGAAAAGCATACCTACGAGTGGTAGTTAACAAGAACCATCCTCTCCAAGATGCCATAAATGATGAAAATGGATGCAGGATTAAAAGAGGAATGTTATGGATGACAGTGCAGAGAATGGGTCACAGGCATCACTGATATTGAGGTTAAACAAATGATTAAAGAAAATTCAAAACTTAGAGACCCTGTGACTTACACTAATGAATTTGTTACCAGAGGTAAGTACAGTGGATGTTTTTTTCAGTCAGGCACGTTGTTGCCGAACAAAGTGGAACATATAGTGCCACAATATCAAGCATATAGATAGAGACTGAAGCTGCATCACTTGCCCTGAGATGACTTGAGGACCAACCTGTCAGATACGTAATAATTGTTACTGATTCACAAAGTATGTTGCATAAAATAGAGGCTGGGTGGTTTTATGTAGAACGGCTAAAATTTCTGCAAAATTCGCATGTGAAGAGCCTAGCATGGATATCTTCTACTGGTCATGCTGGAGTCCAAGGAAATGAAAGTGTAGATAAATTAGTTGGTGAGGCTCTCACTAGCAGTAAATTAAGGCTAGACTAAACAGAGATTGTGAAGACCCTATGGGAAATCTTTGAACAGAACTCCAGAGAAGCTGAAGAAAATCCTGACTGCGAGGGAAAAAAGTAGCTAACGTACAATCAATATGTCACAAAAAAAATCAGAACTCCCACACTTAGATGACTATTGAGGGTGGGGGACAGAGCACAGTGAAGAATGTCCCAAGTGCAGGGATGTCGGTCCTTTAACCAAGTAATCAAGACTATAAAAAAAGGTATTACTGATTTTTCTTCATACTGCTCTTTGCAACAATTCAAAGTTGGTAACATTTGTGTGTTTAATAAACAAGCATTGAAATTAAGGAATTGCAATAAAATAACTCATGTTACAGAAGTAGATATCCAATATAAACTTTTAAGCGAATAAGTGAAAAGTACCAAATGTGATTGCTTCAAAAACTCTGCAACTGAAGTACTTGTTCTAATGGCCTTAAAACACTAAACTTTGACAAGTATGTTTATGATGTGATTATGAAAGACTGTATATAAGCAGTTCATTTTAATGGACTGTGAAAGATTGCAAACAGTTAATTAACTGTAATGATCTGAATTAAGATACTGAACTTTGGAAAATCTATTTAAGGTACATATTTAAGTTTTCTTATCTAACCCAACAAGTTTTTAATTTTTACATTTTAATTAATTTTGTTACAATAAATAAAAAACAAATATATGTAAAAAAAACAAGAAACTTAGCATTTACTTTAGCCCTGAAGCCTTTTGCAATTGGGTACACGGTTTATTTATTTCTCACTGTGTTGGTTGTCTAAAATATAATTGATGTAGCTTTCAAATATGCACTTTAGAAAATAAAAAAATATTAGTCCTAGAACAGAATGCCCAAATCTACTGTAATTTATCTGGTTTTCTAACTGACCCATAAATGAGTTTAAAAATTTCCTTACTTCTTTGAGCAATATCATTAGTCTAAACATGTCAAATTCTCACAGCAAAATATTGTATTTTACCACTAAAACCAAACATACAATCGTCTGTTTTATGTACTCAAGAATTTGTTTTTTCTACTGGTTATAAACTTATCCAATAGCAATGTAAGACACAATTATGGGCATTTCTTATAAGACAGAGGATATGGGAGGGGCATGTCAATGTGTATTGAACAAATACAGTGATATTTCTGTAAAGTAAGAGGAGGATGAAATTTTACTTTCTGGTGTGTCAATATCTACAGTATATGTTTCTAACATAGTTGAACAAGCTAAAACCTGTATAAGCAAAGAAAAATATATATATATATAAATGAGAAGTGAGAGCACCCTCACATCATGTGAATCACAAGTACAGATTGAGAATATATATTTTTTTAATTAAAAATTAAAACTTGAATAATGTAAAAAAGTGAATTGTAAACTACATTTTGATACCAAGTTTATTAATATACATTGATAATAAATTACTTTAAACCCTGAATGTAACTTTGTTAAAAGTTCATGATATGTGCATTATGACTCCTATATGCATAGGGCTAAATAGATAGATCATTTATATCTCCTGATTGATTGCTTTACCAGAGAACTACAAATCCTAGCTTGTTCTGCATATTCTAAACAGTTAACACTTAGATGATATGTTTATTTGACATGTTATCTTAAATAGGTCTTATAATATCAAAATTATGCCAACCTTGGTTCTTACTGTAAGGTATTTAAGAAAATATATTTTTGTGCCAAAGTAATACATTCAATAGTACTTTACATACATGTCAAAGTAAATTTTACAGAATATTGACCTATCAAACTGAAATTAGGCATTTCTATGTGTTTCTTCCTAATATCAAGTATCCTTGACTTACTTATGTGCTATTATGATGCGTCGATACAGAGCTTCAGAAATTTCATTGAAGACATAAGTGTTTCCAGCAGCCTGGGTGATGAAGAATTGATTCTACAAAATAATGCAAAACCAGCTATAAGCTTTTTTCAGTCTAAACAAAAGATATATACTTTCAATTATAAAAAAAAAACATTCCTTTTATACAATTTTCTTTCCAAGTAACACATAATTAGCTCTTTTATAAATTTAGCTTTAATTCTTAGGTCCAACATAAATTAAAGAGATACGTTTTGTATCACTGAAGATTTCTTGGCTTGAGTCCTGACAAAAGAAGTACTTTTTATTTTATACTTCTTTGAAATTTCAAAAAAATTCTAGCATTACAATTAACTCTTAAATAAAAATCCTATACTTCTCCTTCAAATTTAGAACCATACTTAGTGGTGTAATTGATGACCATAGAATCACAGAACTATTACATGTCATTATCATACAAAGTAGCATAATTTTCTCAAATCCTCATATAATACTCAGATTGATTTAAAGCAATTTATATTAAATCTCTGTTTTAAATACTAAAAGTTTTAATATCAAATCCCTTATAGAAGGCTTGAATGCAGCTGCAGTCTAAGGACATTATATTCACCCATCCAAAACAGATAAAAAGCCTGCCTTAACTTAACTTAGTCACTCGCTATCATCCTATAGTATATTTTATCCTACACAGTTATCCATCATACAGGTTGCAGCTTCCATGTGACTACAATGTTGGTATACAACTTCAGAGCAAATACAAAATACATGATGAAAGTTTAATGTGTTATTCAATATAGTTGATTCTCTAACAGGAGTTCTGAGTATAAGAAAACCATCTGGACCAACTGAAAAGACTCAATATTTTTTTTTTTAGTTAATAATGCATACTTTTTAAATGTTGGAAAAGAGTATATAAACTGCGAGTACAGTTGTTTTATCCTCCTCTACAGCTTTAGGTTCATGTTTTATATGTGTGCATACACAAAAAACAGGGTCCTTGGGCTGTATACCTCTCTGCTTCATTTGGTGAACACTTTATATCAAACTATCCAGAAAATACATACAATACACATTTTGCACACTATTATACAAACTTTGCTGCATTAAACCAGTTTCTTTCAGTAAAATATGAAAACAATAAGTTTTCAACTGATGATGTTACATCAATCCTACATACTTTAACTGAAAGATTAAACAGTAAGATAAACAACTTATTTGGTAGGGAAAAAAACAACAATTTTAAACTTAGGACATTTCTAAACAAGAAGAAAAATATAAATATTATCTAAGAAATATTTTTAAATTAATATGACTTAAATCTTAAGATATTTGTGATACGTATGGAAAGTTAATTGTTGAAAACAAGTAAAAAACTTTTGGATTCTTTGATACAAGTATCATACACTTTCTGAGTTTATAGTTTGTAGTGCTAACTGGAAAATATTTGTCATTTTCAAACAAAATAAAATCAACCATTTACTCCAGATATGTCCAATGTTTTGAAGTTATGGCTTCTTCGGGGCTCACACAAAATGAATATCATAAATTATTACTCCACCTATGTATAAAGTCCAATTTGATAATAAATTAAAACAAAAGTAACTTTAATATCATATACAAATGAAATTTCAGGAAGATCTTTTTATGAAAATGAGATGGTATTTATTAACTTATTTTTTATGAGTTTGTTTTAGAAAATATTGGTGTTACGGGATAAAAGAAGTGTGAAAAAACAAGTGTTACGCTATTTCCTCTTCAGAAGTAGTAAAGTTGAAAAACTTGAATTTAGTAATACTATTATTAGCATGTAGAAATGTAAATTTACATTTTACCTCAATATAAATAAAATGTTTAGCATTTTGTATAATATCTATATAGGCATTGTGAATTGACTGTTCTGTCTCCCTTACTCCTGCTGACCATTCTCCTATGCTCCTCAATATCTGAAAAATAACAAAAAAATGATTTTATTCAAGTGCAGATGAACCATCATTCTTCAATTATACGTGGTATATGACAATACATATTCATGTATTTCAGGTCTGTGGTACACATATGTCAACAGTTCTAGTACTATAAATTATATTAATTGTTAAATAGGTGATCAAATCAGCATTTTATAACAATTTAAAATTAATAAAAATAAAAGCTAAAACATTCACAATGAGACTTACATAAAAATTTCCATTACCAGTCCTTCCTTGTCATTACCACTAAGTCATAATGGAACATGTCTGTGGTCCTAACTCCCAAAAGCGTTGGGGATATTCCATCTATCAGACATGATCCAAATGCAGAATGTCAAACATGTAAGTGATGCATATTGTGCATTACATCAAAGACATTCAGAGCTTTGATTCACATGGTTGTGGACAGCAAACTCAGCAAAGAAAAGCTTTCAGTATTTCAGAGGTAAGTCTACCTGATTTGAACAAATCAGTGTGAAAATATCTGGCACATGTATCTAGTAAATCAGGCTTGTCATGTGTAGAACAAAGTACTTACAATGAAAAATATGTTTCATTAGAAGTTTTGGTACTATTATTATGTAATGTCAGCTAACAAAGTTTGGCAAGAAAAAAACACAAGCTGTGATGACACTTAAAAGAAACAATGGAAAGATATAAAAAAAATGATTTTCAAACCTGTACACAACATGTCATTCCACTTTTTTTTTTTTAAACCCACGCCTTCAGAGGTTATTATATTTAAAAGTATCCAGTCAAATCTCTTTAATATTTTAGACTACATGTGAAACATATTGGTTTACATTAGAAAAAATAAAAGCAATACAGTGTAATGAGCTGCAGCTTTTACCAACCTAGGTAAAGGCAAAGATAGGAATTGCAATTTTTGAACTATATCAGCTTCTATATTAAAGCTCAGCAAAGAATTTCACAGTTATGAACTTTGTCAGCTCCTATCAGCAAGCTTAAAGTCAATGATAAAGAATGTTACAATGCTGAATTATATCGGCACTCATCAGCTCAAATACGTCAATGACAGAAAATGTTATAATCTTGCCCTTCATCAGAGTTTCTTCAGACCAGCTAGGATAATAAAAGTTACCTACATATTTTTATGGTGTAAGAAAATTCACCCTAATTATTAAAAACTTTTGATCAAAGTAAGCTACCAATACAAGTGAGAATGAAAACAATTTAAAAGCAAGATAAATTATTGTAGACATTCCACTATAACAAACTAATCAGAAAATCCTGATATTACGTGTGGATAAAAAAACATGTAATGATTAGACTGCAATAAATCAACAGCTGAGTATTGTTGCTACCACCAGTATCAATTTGTTGTCCTTATGTCTTACAGTGACTGAGTAACAATGCCAGAAAAATAATTATCCACAAAAATGTTTGATTCCTGGATTTTCTCTGTTTTAGTAATGTAGCACATAATATAATGGTTTAAGCACAAGACTGTACAAAAATAAAGATTATTTTGTTTTGAAATCAAGCCTGTATGCAGAATGTTTGAAAGGGGGCCTAATTTGTGAGATAAAAACCAACACACATATTGTGCAAAGCGACTATTTCAAACCATAAAATGTTAATGCTTCATTAGAAGAATGTAGACTATGTAGAAAACATCAACTACCATAAACAGCTGCATTATAACTATATATAAGCATAATTTTTTACATCGCAAAAATAGGGGGTTCTGCCCCCACCCTCTACCACCACCCCCTTGAACATATGTGGAAATGTTAATTACAATTGTAGATATTTCTTTATAGTCACTATTTTTAAATGCAAATCACACACAACTTTTACATCAGGGTAAAATTTGTATAACATTACTTAATTATTCACAAATGATGTGTATTTTAGACTTCTCTTTCTCAATGATACACATCTCACTTAATAAGAATATTTTTAGCCTAGAAAATATGATTCGTTTTTATGCATGTGTAAAAGTGGGGAACAAAACCTCTTCGCTATATACTCATAGCATTTATAAACAAAAGCAACAATAATAATAAACTGACGTTTTTCAATTGTAACATCTGTAACTTACAAATTTGCCTTCATTAACTTGTATATAAAAACTAAACCAAGAAAAAAAAAATTCTAACCTGAACATTTGCACACAACATTTGTCCTGTTGATTCTTTGGGAAGACTTGGGAAGTTGTTGAGGTTGTCATAAGCTTTGGGTAACAGCCATGGATATTTCACATACTGCTTAGCTTTTTCAAACTAGACAAAAAGTTATATTCAAATATTTCACTAAATCCTTTATATACTACTTAGGTATTATTATAGCATTTTATTTACCTTATTAGTACAAAATCATACTAAACAAAATAAAAATATGTGAAACCTAAAAAAAAGGATTTACAAAACTACAAAGCTATAACTTAGAAATCACATTTCACATCATCCTAAGTTTACAAAGAAACTAACCTTCTGCTGTAAAATAGATAATATATAAAGTTTACTGTGAAGAGAGCATTACCTACAAAAGAGTAAAATTCTAATCACACAATTAAAAACAGTTTTAAATTACTCTTTATTACTATTCTCAAGCTTCATACACATACACAAATAACAATTAGGTATTGTCTGGATTTAGTTCTGTAAAGAATAAAAACAAATTTATACTTCTTCTTCAGTTGTAATCAAAATAACATATTACCTAACATTCAAAAAAATGGTATAAGTAAAAATTTACACATAGATCCTCTAAAACAGTCATCAGCCTAAATTTTATTTCAAAAACTTTTACATCTAAAAGTGTTAAAAATAAACATGATAATTATAGTAGGCCTATTATTAAGTGATTGATAGTGATTATGATATCAATAATCAAACTCTTACAAGTAATCAACCAATAACTACACAAGAGCAAGTCTGGATTATTACAACAAAATGATAGAAATTACTTGAATAATTTAACTGTTAAAATTATATCTAATTTCAAGCCTTTATAACGTTTCAATTCATGTAACAACAGCCTTACGTTTGATATATCTTTCACTCATTTAAAAACAAAAACTTATTAAAAACAATATAACTGTAATTTAACATTGGAGAAAACTGCTATATACTTTCATACACAAGGTACAACTATTTTCCCCACAGGCAGAACAGGTGTTATCTCAGGGGAAAGACACAGAACAATAAGTAGCTTGATCAAACATAACTTAACAACTTTCTTGACCACATGTTATATGAAAAATACACATACCTAGAATAAACAAAATATTTGTGAAAAATATTACTTTATAATTAGCAGGTAGAAAATGCATGTTAAAAAATTGATGATAAGAGGAGATTAGCAAAGGAAACTTTTTTAGTCTGTCACTGTTAAGTAACTCATCAATATTTGTCAGGCTATTTACTTTTCACTGGTTATTTCCCTCAAGCACTTTCTTTATCCTTTACCTAACACCAATGTAAATATGCTACTAATATTTCTTCTTCATCAAGAAAGTGTTCAAGCTTGTTAACCAATAAAAAAAAAAAGTACCCCACATTAACTAATTCAACTTGTCAATATAACAGCAGTTTGTCTCCCTGGAGTCTAAAGTTTCAAATATTATTACCTAACAAAAATTGCTGAATGAAATATATAATCAAGAATTTCCAAGTGTGTCATAAAAATAGTAATTTTTATTCCCTTTTTAAACAAAGTACATTTTGTAATTAATATTACCTATAAGGAAAATTAGTTGAGCCCAATCAGAAACATGAGTTGAACCACTTGCTTTCTAATACAAGTTCAAAGTAATTTTTTACCTCAGCATTATACAGTAATTTTGATGTAGGGACTTACAGAGTATCTGAGTGACTTTTAACAGTTTAATTTGGAGTTTTTCACATAACAAGCACACCTTTGTGAAATTCCATCTCTGAATAAAATGACGAGATACATCTCTAGCACTGCTGCCCTGAAGAAGGAGGCCAATATCATGCCAAGGCATCCTGGGGGTTGTGTTGCGATTAACAAGGTCTGGAAAAATCAAAATGACCTTAGATAGTTTCTTAAGCTAAAGCTGTAATGTTAGTAGTGGTGTATATGATATATATATCAAAGTTGATTTCCTAATCAGAACTAAGTTTTTCTATAAATTTATAAACAGAAAATAAAAAAATTAAGTTGTTAAAAAATCGTATTTTTTTAAGTCTTTTTTTTTTAGTGCCAGCACAGCACATGTATTGCCACCACTAACTGTTAATCACTGAACCTGCACAATTTAATATTTGATGTTCAAAAATGAAAGAAAATTTTCAGCCACAAATGAATATATATATATATTTCTTTGAGAATTCTACAAGTTTACCAATAAGACAGCA